ACTTGGTAAAAGTCATTTTACTTCTTATGTACAATTACGTGGTAGCGTACCAGCATTTTGGAGTCAAGATCCAAAACAAGTACCTAAACCACCAATTGTTAGTAAGTAGAATAATTATTGTTATCCAATAAAAATGAATTTTATAGTCGAACAGTTACTTCGTAGGAGGTTTTACGTCGATCGAAAATCCATATGTACTTTTTTTAGTCCCGGTAGACAGTAGAGGTGATTTTTTGACCATTTTGAGTAGTCTGTATGATCATGTATTGAGCAGAATGTCTAAATCGGCATATAATTTCATATGAAGTAACTGCATCAATATACATTGGCGCTAAAATTGAACATACAACTAGCCGATCTCATTGTTTTTCTAATGTCTCAAAAACATTTTCATTTGCTTGAGTTATCCCTTTGCCAGACTAAAAATACCATCAATGATGTACCTCGATTTCGATCAAAATTGATCCTACACTACACAGAAAAATGTCAAAACATTTTACGCTTTTTTTAAAATAATGTTTTGATTAAGAAGCAACTTAATCTTCGTTAAAATATTTTATAAGTGTGTCTCCCAATTAAGAAGGATAAAATACCAAATACCATATTCAAGCATTTAGCGTGTGGTGTATGCTTCATTTTGAACGAAATCAAAGTACATCATTTTAGATAAGGTGTAGTCAGAGCGAATTTCGAGTAAAACTTTTTTCCCTTTTTTTTACATCATTTGATAGAGCATGAGCTGCTAATCACGAAAAACTAGTCTTTAGCCTCACCAAATGCTGTTTTTAGGTCAAAAAATACGAAAAACTCGAAATGAATCGTCTTTCGAGAAAAACACATCTTTTTCGAAGTATGCAAAATTTCCTGCTTTATCCTTGTGTTTTCAGCTTTTGAAAACAGTTTTTTCAGATTCAGCATCAAAACCTGAATACAGACAAGTTGTTAAATGGATTCTAGACGCAATACTCTATTGGTGGTGGCGCTTCGAATCGCGATGGGTGCCATACGTATAGGTCCATTTTGTAAACCTATCTAGTTTTTTTCATGTAAGCGATAAAAGGAAATGTTGTGTCTCGTTTGACTCATCATGCCCTCAGTCACAAACCAATGCATCGCTTTTTTTCTTTTCGTTCCTTTTGTCGAGAAAAATCGTTTTTACTGTATGATAAGGAAAAGGGGGAGGTGATCTTTAGATGAAATATTTGTTTTTTACTCAAATCTAGTGAAACTTTGTTCACCCAGGTAAAAACTAATGACAAATCGAATGGATATACTTTGAAGATCTTTACAGGTCTTCAACGGGTCTCTGGAAAAGTTTTTTTTTGAAAAACCTTAGTTCTGTTGTTCTAGTTAAGATTTAATCATTTTTAATGGAGAAACTGATTCATTTTTCATGCGTATTCACTGGTTTACATGCTTTTCTATATAATATAAAGGGGTGCATGCAGAATAAACGTGTTCACGTAAGAATAAATTTCCATTAATTTTCATCTATGTTTGTATTTGTTATTGTGCGATGTGACTGAGCTGTTGTTTTGCAAAATTGACTGAAGAATAGTTTTAAGATATTGGCATATGTTTGACCTTTAGAATAGGCTTCGATTGCATGCCAGAAACGTCGACATAATTTCAATGCAATTAGTCGTTCAATAAAATTTATGCGCGATTCAGATATTGATTTTATCATTTTCTCAAAAGTTTGATTAGTACGTGAACGAACATATGCTTTTTGACAACACCAAAGACCTTCAATGGCATTTAGTTCACAATGATATTTAGGACAGAAGATAATGTTAATATTGTATTTAACCGCTAACATTTCAAGTTTTGCAATCTAAATATCAAGATAAATAATAAAATAAGAAATATATGTTTGACAGTAAGGAAAAATTTTAGCTTACATTTTGAAATGCTCGATGATTTGAACGTATTTCACAAATTTCCTGTAACTTAACTTTAGCTGGTAATTGAACACCTAACTCTTTACATAATTCAACCAAACCTTTTGATTTATCTTTGTTTTCTCCATGTTTGAAGTAGCAGTCAATAACTTTTACTGCACCATCAATTTGTTCCACTGGGCAACGGGTACCAATATTTTTACCAAATTCCTGTAGAGAATATAATTTAGAAGTGTGCGTTCTTGCGTTGTCCACAATGATTTCTATCTGATTATACTGGTATTCTTGTTTAAATTGTAGCATTGGAAAGAGTCTTCCAAATTGACTTAAGATTGTATGATTATCGAAGTAAGCGTCTGTTCCGATATTAATACTAGCTGTTGCTGTTCGACGAAGATACTTAACATCATTGTCGTCACTTAATGATTTTTTATTTTGCAACCGCTTGTTTCCATTCATCTTCACTAAGTTCAAAAAATGGTTCACTAGGATGTTGAATAAGAAAATCCAAAATCATGTGGCTTCGCCCATGTCCTCTTGAAAAAGTTGGTGTATTCTGTTTGAAAAACCACCGTTTTGAGCGAACTTCATCACTTCTAAAGGTTGATTCATCATGAACTAAATAAGATAAAAATGAAAACAAGAACAATAAAATTATATCTAAAAAGCTCGATATCCTTTGCTTACATATAAGTATTCTTGGAGGATTTTGAGTTGGAAGTTGCCACATAGGTATTTCATCATAAATAACACTGTAGTAAAAATCTTTATGTGATAGAAAATAACCAATAAATTCACTACGATATTTCACTATATCATTCCTTTCATGTCCTTCAAAATACAGACGTTGTGAATTTGCTTCGAATTTAGCTCTCCATCTACGAAGATCCACACGACAACTCCTTTTAGATCTTATGTAATCGTTGCCTATTTGTTTTTTAATTCCTGTTAATTCATAATACTTTTCATCAACAAACCAAACTAAATTCAAAGCCTTGAATTCTCCTAACTTTTGTAAACACGCTTGAACGACAAATGCTTTCGCATCTGCTTCAATCTCGGGAAACGTATCATAAAATGAATCAGTTTGTTTACCACCACGTAAATCGGTTGAAAACTCTTCGTAATCTCCTTTCAGAAACACTGTTGCCCATTTATGAGACGTTTTCGCGGTCATAAAACCAATACTTTTCAAATACTCATCAACATCTTCCAATTTAATGTTGAAGAAACGTAATGACATATACAGTACAGTACTACGAGATTTTGTGTTGCATTTCGACTTGCACATTTCAGCAAGATCACCAACATCGCTCACTAAAAGTTTTTCATTGAAAGTTCATTATTTATCATCAATATCCATACAATATTCATCGCTTTATGAATCAGTTGGTTCTGAAATCTTCGTATTTTACTACCGACGAGATGATGCATTTTGTAAGTGACTTCATCTTCTATTTGATTTAGATATGTGAATCTAATTTAGTTGAGCTAGAAACGATATTATCTCAAAGAAAAAAGAATGCTATTAAAACATATCGTTATAATACGGTTTTTCAAAAAACGTTTTTGAGAGACCCGTTGAAGACCCTGTAAAGATCTTCAAAGTATATCCATTCGATTTGTCATTAGTTTTTACCTGGGTGAACAAATTTTCACTAGATTTGAGTAAAAAACAAATATTTCATCTAAAGATCACCTCGCCCTTTTCCTTATCATAATGTAAAAACGATTTTTCTCGACAAAGAAACGAAAAGAAAAAAAAAGCGATACATTGGTTTGTGACTGAGGGCATGATGAGTCAAACGCGATACAACAATAGAGTCTTGCGTCTAGAGTCCATTTAACAACTTATCTGTATTCCGTTTTTGATGCTGAATCTGAAAAAACTGTTTTCAAAAGCTGAAAACACAAGGATAAAGGAGAAAATTTCGCATAGAGTCGATATCCCTAAAGCGAACGGACATCTTGGAGGTCTCCATTGTAATTATGATATTTCTGTCATTTTTCATCATAAAATAATTATTTTTATATCACGGGAATGAAAACAAAATTCTGCATCTGCCCATATAAAGAAATGTTTTGAAACTGTAAGAATAGTTGAGTAGTGAGCGGTAGAAAATCAAAAATTAGAAACGTTCGCTTTATGTGCATGCTCCCTAAAGCGAACGGTCAGCGAGAAAATGTCCTTAAAGCGAACGCATCAGCGAAAAACAAGAGAAAATTAAAAAAATACAGTATTTGTCTATTTCTGTCTACAGATTTCAATTAAATTTTATGAAATTTATATCATTCGATTCGTCTTCTTTAGCTCTATCATTCTCTAGCGGTTCAGCTTAATTAAAGT